CTAAAACGTAAAAAAAAAAAAATTAAAAAAAAAAAAAAAAAAAAATGAAATACCAATAAAAGCAAGTATGTCCAACTTGATCAAAGATGAATCGGATGATGGCACGTCAATATCTGAGGAATAATGACCCGAATGTCCATCCTAATGACCCGAATGTCCACCCGAGTTCTGGCATCGAAATTTTAGGTAATCCTATTCCTTCTATTTCCGACCTTGATGTTGCTTTTCCAGTTGACAGGTTTGCCATGGATCTTCCAACACGTTTTGCGTGTATGGTGAGGCTTGTTGCAAAAATCACACCCGACCCGTGGCTTATCATCAAACCTGCGCTGGTAATTTGCAGCCTTGTTGGCCGCAGCATCGCTAATTAAAGCAGAAATTTCAATTGATTCACCAGTACCTTTTTTCTTAAGCATAACGCTCCTTCGGCTCTCAAGTGTGAAATCCTAGATGTGAAAGCTCTATGGTTTTTAGACAGTCTTTGATAGGAGAGGTAATTTGTAATAGGATGTTTAATGCAATTTCGGACACCTTTCCTAATTGCTATAGGAACATCAAGGTCGGAAATAGAAGGAATAGGATTACCTAAAATTTCGAAGCCAGAACTCGGGTGGACATTCGGGTCATTAGGATGGACATTCGGGTCATTATTCCTCAGATGAAATCGCTTCCTAGTATAAACCTGAAGCTCAGGATTTAGATCATTTTGTAGTACTTCTCCCCCTAAACAAGAATCTTCTTGACTAGGCACTATCTACCACCAACACCACTATCATATTCTATACATGCCACTATCTACCACCAATACCACTATCATATGCCACTATCTTATTATATGCATTAACACAAATTTCCAGCATATATATTACAAGTACAAGGATTCCTATTATATAGGAGAGGATTTGGGAGTAGGTGGGGAGTAGGTGAAGTAGGTGAGTGTGTGTGGTAGGTGGTAGTGGGTGTAGTAGGTGTAGGTTTTAACACATGCTTTGGCTTAGACTGTATGATGAAAGTAAACAATTGCAATAGGTTGAAGCAGAATGGCAAAACTGAATTATAGATCAATGATGAATTTCATTTGAATTTGAGACTAAGCTCATTTCATTATGGGGTCAAATGAAAAAAACTACCAACAGAACGAGAGGTTTCCACAAGCCAACTGAATTTACAAAAAGAAACTGTTTTTAATCAGATTCCAGAATAGGTAATATCTCAATCTTGTAGAAAAGTTGTGGAGTTATGAAGGATACATACTAATCTAAGGGCTGCAAACAAACACTCACTATTATTAAATTAATGAAATGAATTATTGCTTAACAAGTCATACTTGCAAGAACTAAGGATATAGCCCTTCATCTACTACTATTTTAAAAGTCTAAAGAGTCAAAATGTTTTCTACTTTTTCCGTATTCAAAAATACCCTTCCAAACTTAGTAAACATCACATGGCAACCTACATCGACCAAACAACCAAACACATTCCAGAATTCAAACACCTTCAAACATCATAATATGATTATTTTTTTAATAATTCTACTACTGTGGCCTGTTTAATATTTGTCTCCTCCACTACCTTCTCATGAACGGTAAGTGAGACATTTTGTGATATTCAAATGAAGAATAATCATGAAAACATATAAAGAAAATAAATATTTTTGCAATTGATCTACTTTGAATGAGTGGTGATGATTCAAAGTGGCCTTGCTGGCAAACTGATAGGCCTTGGATTGTTTTTTTCAATTGGGTTTTGTGTGATAATAATAGACTTTGTTTTGGACGGTTTAGAACAACCACCGGTCACAATCCACTACAACACTTTCACAAATAATAATAAACTCTGCTTCGGAGGGTTCAAAACAACCCTGTTTCGCAATTTAAAATAGATTCTACAATTAACATTACCCACTCTGTTTCGGATGTTTGGGACCAAATCTGTTACATAGCCCAATGGTTTTAAATCAAAACATAACAGACCACTTTGTTCAGAACCAAACAGTCGATTCGATCGCATTGTCTTTCAATCAACTCTGTTTCACAACCTTTTTTATTTATTTTCGTTCTTCATTCATAGTTGTGGTATATTGATTTTTAATTGCCCAAGTTTTTTTATCATGTACTTAATTGATTTGTGTAAAATTTTCATCATCTTTTTTGCTCTCTTTGCTTTCTTTGTATATAGTTCTGGTATATTGATTTTAAATTGCTTAAGTTTTTTTTATCATGTACTTCACTTTTGTAGAGAAAACCCAATATATATGAACCAACTATGATAATATTAACTATGAAAATATGTAGAAAGGTTTTGACCTTCCAAGCGGGTCGTATAAAAATATATATTAGTGGCTTTTTAAACTCACATATTAATACATGCGAACAGATTGGATTTTCTTGCAAAATAACTAATTTCTGCTTTGATCTAAGCTAAATTTTTTAAGGGAAATAAGTTCAGTCCTTTTATTGGTTGATGCCTATTTATTCTTCTTTTTTACTAAATAGTTCAATATAGACACTTCTCTTTCTCATGTGTAGTTGAAATTACTTTTTTTTCCTCTTGATTTTAATTATTTTTTTTTCCTTCAAATTTTCGATCAAAATAAGAAAAGAAAATACTCCTCCATCAACAAAAAGAGATGGACAAAAACCAGTGGTATGAACTTATATGTCAATTTCAATGAAAATAGGGGGAAAAAAATGTTCATAATTTGTTACAATTACTAATAAAAGGATTTATCACAAATGCAATTTCATAACATTATTTTTTATTTATTTTTGTTTTTCGTTCATAGTTCTGGTATATTGATGTTTACTTGCCTAAGTTTCTTTATCATGTACTAAATAGACTTGTGTAAAATATTCATAATCCTTTTTGCTCTATTTTATTTCTTTGTACATAGTTCTAGTATATTGATTTTTAATTGTCTAAGTTTCTTTATCATGTACTTCACTTTTGTAGAGAAATCCCAATACATATGAACCAACTATGATAATGCTAACTATGAAAATATGCAAAAAGATTGGCTTTCAAAGTGAGTGGTATAAAAATATACATTAGTGGCTTTTCAAGCTCACATATTAGTACATGCGAACTAATTGAATTTCCTGCAAAATAATTAATATATGTTTTGATCTAAGTTAAATATTTTAAGTAAAATAAGTTCAGTCCTTTTATTGGTTGATACATGTGCATTCTTCTTTTTTACCAAATAGTTCAATATAGTCACTTTCCCTTCTCATGTGTAGTTGAAATTAAATATATATATATATATATATTTTAACAGCATCACCAACAAAAATAATAATAACTACTCTATCTTTCAAGGCTAGACAAGATGAATGAAAAGGATCCACATATGGAAAGTTTGTAGCAGAAGTGCAAAATGACAAACATTAATATGGAATGGAAATAACAATATAAAAAATTACCAAAGTTTAACCGCAAAGAGGATCAAACTAGAGAATGAATGAATTTTGTAAAAATACTTTGTCTTTCAATTTCCTTTAATTATTTTATTTCAAAATAATAATATTACAATGTTAGTTGGGTGTTTTATTTCTTCACTTTTTAATTACCAAGTAGTTTCTACATACATACACATAACAAAAGTGAAATAACCTGTTAAATTATATATTTAATAATAATAAATCCAACCACGTGATCTGGATTATAATTATTTTATGTGATTGGTTTCAAACTACTTTTAAAATTTTAATGCTTAAACATAAATATAAAAATATGAAATAATATGTAAAATGTTTATACTGATTTTTATTCTTTTATCATACATTCAATGTCCACTCATACGTTCTGGCCAATGCAACTATTATAAAAAGGTAAAACACAAAAAGCTAAAAAAATATTATAAAACTAGTAACCAAAAAAAAAAAAAAACCACTAGTAGAGCTAAAAGATGAAAACGGATTTATGGAGCTGACCCACTTGATTGGGACACAAGACTTAGTTTGGTTTGGTTTGGTTGAGTCATCCTTGCGAGCCAAGCAGATATGTAGTTAAATCAAATCATTAGTGAAATGAATTATTGTTTAAGAAGTCATCCTTGCAAGTCAAGTAGGTATATGTAGTTTGTCCCTCAACCAAAATGTCCCTCAAGTCCCCCTATTGTCTTGCATGGCTAGAAAAGTAAGCTTCTAAAACCATCATGTTCCTCGCAAGCAGCAGCCCTCGGGAGTATGGACTTGGAAAAAGTTTAGGCAAATATGAAAGACACTAATCTCTCAAACTGAAGCATCCACACCACATGTAGAAGCATCATGTAGGTGGTACTAGCTGCATTAGTATGCTCCATGGAAAAATGGAGACATCAACATAATCTATTTATTCTACAATATACACATACCTTATCAAATCACTGTTAGGATACATGTGAAGAACTTTTCGAAGATGTTTTACTCCACTTTGAATCCCGAGGCACTCTTCAGATCCATGTTTGACCTACACAACCCAAAAGCAAACCCATATTCCAACCTCATAACTGGCATTCCACAAACTGCAAAAATGCTAGCTACGCTACGCAGATGTTTAAATTGCAACAAGTGGAAAAAGAAAATTACGAGTTTACTGAGTGCTATCAAGAAGTGCATTCTGGTGGTCTCTTCAGGAGATGCAAGAAAGATACGACTGCGTGAAACCACTGATACCAGCTGATTAGATTGATCAAGAGCATGAATGGCAGATAGTACAAAACTAATTTTTGAACTTTGAAATAATTCCTTGGGCATTTTTAAAATGCATATAACTGCTGATTCCAGTCCAGAAATGTAGTAAAGCAATCTACAGATTAAAGTGACAGAGGCATCCCTGGATGGCTGTTTCATGGACAAAGCACTTGCAGTGAGATCTTTTGCCACAGAAAGAACCAGGTCATTCTTTCCAAGTTTCCATAAAGAAACAGCATATATCTGCAAACCTTCCAAATCAAGCAGACCTAAAACATTAAATGTATTAGAAAATGAAAAACATAGGTAGCGTTTGGTTGAGCTTTCTAAATATGATTTGACAATAGGAGTTGTATTTTGAGTTTGTGTGTCTTAGAATTATGATTTGAGTGTGGAAAATTTGTTTGGTGAATGAGTTTTGAATTGAGTGGGGAATTTTTGACGTGACATACGATATTTGATACAAAAACTTACAACTCATAACCAAACACATAGGAATGGCAATGGGGCGGGGCCAGGGACTACACCCCCCGTCCCCAATCCCCGAAAGTGACAAATTCCCCGTCCCCGTCCCCGGCGGGGAGCCCATCGCCCCTCCCGCCCCCGCCCCCGATCGGGGATTGGGTTTCCCCGACCCCGAAATATCCCCGATCTTTTTCTTTCTTTTTTTTAATTTTGTTCAACACAACACAACACAACACAAGAACAAGAAAAAAATGAATCTGTTTTCATTATCATCATCAACAATCTGAATCAACAACAATCATCAACTTAAAACAAAAAATAAAAACTGAAATTGAAGAGAATCACTTCATTTATTTTCATCATCATCATTAACAAAAAATTTGAAATCTAAAAAAAAAAAAAAAAAAAAAAAAAAAAAAAAAAAAAAAAAAAAAAAAAAAAACACACCAAAATCACTCATAGAAATCAAGAAAGACTAGATCGTTGAGGATTTAATATGTTTTCATCATCAAGAAAAATTTAACCTCACTTCTGAGGGGCAGGGGCAGCGACTATGCCGAGGGGAGTGGTGCCAATGCCGAGGAGGCTGGCTTGCTTCAACTCTAGATCGTTGAGGAAGATGAAGGTGAGGGGACGACGAGGATGATGAAGGTGGTTCCAGTGATCCACGAGGTTCCGGCGATCGAAGACCGTGACACCGCACCTGAAACCCTACATAGAACCCCTTCGTTACCGCTGCTGCTCTGCTCGATCAACTGAAAGAGAGAGAGAGAGGGAAGAGAGAAACCGAGCGAGAGAGAGAGAGACAGAGAGGGAAGAGAGAAATCGAGCGAGAGAGAGAGAGGAGATGGAGAGAAGCGTTGTCTCTACCTCTGCCCAGCAGAGACGGCTCTGTGTTGTTATAATCACACACACACACACACACACACACACAAAACCCTAATCATACACACACATATGTTATATATAAAGCAGGGGCAAAAGGGTAATTTCACATCGGGGGGCAGCCGGGCCGGGGCTGAAACATGTATCCCCGTCCCCGGCCCGAATATCATCGGGGATTTAATTTTTAATACCATCCCCGGCCCGTTGGGGGTATTTTTCGAGGATTAACCACTCAATTCGGGGTCGGGGGATTGGGTCCCCGTCGGGCTGGGTTCCAATTGCCATCCCTACAAACACACAACTCAAAATTCTATTAAAGCTCATAAATTTTTTTTAAAAATTCGGAAAATATTTTTTATTGAATATATAAAAATTAACATGTGTCAATTGCCCCCCCCCCCCCCCCAAAAAATAATAATAATAAAATTGCATTGTTCCGGTCAACCGGTGGGACATCCAGTTTCCCGCCTTTAACCGCGTTTTCAAAAGTGAGTGTGGAACCGCGTTTTGAAAATCGTAAACAAATACTATGTTCAAATCAAGCTCTGGAACGCTACCAAACAAAGCCATAGAAATTCCAGAATATAGGTTCACTTCACAATATCAGACCCAAGAATCTAACCCAAAAAAAGGTTCTTTCATGCCTTTGCTTTATCAATAAGAAATTTACTAACATGAATATTTCTCAACTGCATAATGACAGACTACAAGAAAACTAGAAAACTTGTAAGCTCCCATTATATTTGGCATTCCCATTTATTTCTTATTAAGCCATAATTATTTCTAAAAATTGACTTAATTAATTGTTTAGCCATACGCAAATACGAAATTTCACACATATTTAATAGAACATATTTGTCTAATTTAATTCCTAGAATTGTACACATTACTATAATTTAAAGTACTTCTAAAGTAATTTTCTTTTAACAATAGGACATCTAATAAAATTTATTTATTACTTTTTCAAATCGATCATGTAACAACACATTTCTATGAGCATTATATCCCATTTTTTACCTTTTGCCTTGCTAACACTACACTCTCCCCAGATTTTAGTTCATTATATTTTATTGTTGCCTCTTAAGGAAACCTTTAAAGAAATATATTGAAATCAAATTTTTGGATCGTTTTGGATAGCTAAATTCACTGTTTTGTAATGAAAAGTGTACCATAATTCAGAACGTGCATTCTAAAACGTAAATTCACTAGGGTATTAGCATTTTCTGTTAACACTGGTATAGGGCCTTTGGTAGCTACGGCTATCAGCCTATCAATCCGTAATCCGCATGGTGTGGGGTTGGGGTCATGACAAAACTTTTCCAAATGATAAAGATTCTGGACTTCACAACCTATATCCCCATACAGGTGGTCGCTCATTTTCTTAACTGATGATCAAGTTCAATTAATTAGACTTCACATTATCCAAATTATGGGAGAATGTACATAAAAACATAGAGGGAGTCTGGTAATCAAGATGAGGAGTAGGAATGGCAACGGGGCGGGGCGGGGATCACCACCCCCGTCCCCGATCCCCGATTGTGAAAATCTCCCCGGCCCCGGCCCCGGCCCCGATCCCCAACGGGGACCCTACCACCATCCCCATCCCCGCCCTCTAACGGGGATCGGGTTTCCCTGACCCTGAAAATTCCCCGCCCCCCAAACCTGTTTCAACAGCAACACAATCAACAACAACATCATCATCATCCCTAATCATCAACAGATCATAAAAAAAAAAATAAATAAATAAATAATTGGATAGATACACAAACATACATGAATAAATACAAATAGATTTGAGATCGGCGTCGCGGACAGTGGACGAAGGAGGATCGGCGATGATGGGTAAGCCATGGACGAAGGAGGATCAGCGATGGGTGGCTCAGCACCGTGGCTGTGAGTGCGACGACAGAGGAGGACGATCGGAAGAGGAGGAGGAGGAGGAGGCGGCAGTGGCTTGGAAGAGGAGGAGACGGCAGTGGAGGAGGCGACGAGAGGCGAAGCAACCGACTGCGTGCGAAGAGAAAAAAGAGAGAGAGACAGATCAGAGAGTGAGGCGTGCGAAGAGAAGAAAGAGAGAGAAAGACAGATCAGAGAGTGAGGCGAGGGTAAGTGTAATGAGATTATCTGGGTGAGAGTGATGAGATTTGCTCTACTTTATATATATATAATGGACAAATTATCTGTCACAGATTGTACACGGGGGTTATATATATAAATGGATAGGGGCATTATGGTAATTTTACTTCGGGAAAAACACGAGGCCGGGGACGGATCGGGTCCGGGACTGTGAAAGTGATCCCCGGCCCCGGCCCGAAACTGGTCGGGGATTTAATTTTAAATACCATTCTCGGCCCGTCGGGGGTATTTTTCGAAAAAAAATTGCTCTTATCGGGGACGGGGGGCCGGGTCCCCGTTGGGCCGGGTTCAAATTGCCATCCCTAATGAGGAGTCCAGTGATGAAGATAATTTCACTCATTTTTCCCTCATAATTGTGCACTCAGTTAAAAGTGCAACTGCAAAATGAATGTGCTATTAGAATAGTATATTATTAGTTGGGTTATTATTCAATTATAATTATTCTATGCCTTAGGGCTCTTGTAATTATTAATCTTTATTAATATAAAAACGGGATGATATCACAATCATTCCCTAATCTTCGTATTCTCTAAAATTATCATGGTATCAGAGCCACAACCCTACATCCATACACCACAAAGCTCCCATCCAGGTTTGATAGGGTAACACCTTCGCAGCCCAGTCGACTACTGCCGAAGGGCTTCTTGGCCCAGACGCTAGCTGCTAAACCTGTCGGAGGCAGCTCTAGCCCCTTTGATCACTGTCACAGGTGCCCCAGTCTCTTGTTGGTCCTTGCCAACAGGCCTTCTAGCTTAAGTCGACCATGCGGCAGGCTCGTCTTGCCTTGCCGACTGCCACTGGCAGTCTCTCAGACCCAGCCGACAGCCCTAAGGCATTCTCTGGCTTCCTTCGACATCCTCTGCTGTGTCGTCTCCCTTTGCTGTGTCGTCTCCCTGTTTGTTTGAACTTTTGTTGCTGTCTTTGACTTTGTGATGAGGTATTGACCTCTGTTTCTTCTTTTCTTCTCTAAAAAAAAATTTTAAAAAAAAATGACGAGTGTTTAATTCTTTAATATTCTTAGTGGTCATCGTGCTTACTATTCCTCCACCATCTTCTGGGTTTGTGATTGGCATTAATTTTGTTGAGGGTTAGGTAGTATAATATACATGGCAGATTCCACCAGTGTGTCCACTACTTCTGAGACACATAAGAGTGAGAGTTCTATTGTACCTACTATTATAACTGATAATCCCAAAACTAGTCTTAAAATTACTACATCTCTATTCAATGGCCAGAACTATATACCGTGGTCGCAGAGTTTGACTATCTTTTTGAAGAACAAAGGGAAGATGAGATATGTTGACGGTAGGATACAGGCACCTAGCACCACGGACCAGAGTTATGATAAATGGGAGATCACCAACTCCCTAATTATGGGTTGGTTGATACATTCTATGGTCTCGAAGATTGGAGAGAGTTATCTATCTATGGACACTGCACAGGATATTTAGGAGGCAGTGGCTACTACTTATTCTCGCAAAGGGAATTTCTAACAGGCATTTGAGTTGCGCGCTTTATTGAGAGCTCTATTTAGAGGGGCAGACTGTTCTTCAGGTTAGGACAAAGTTAGGATTGCAGATGGTATTGTTTCTTCTATTTCTGAGAAAGGTTCACTCCTACCATACCTCTATCTTCTCTTCTCCATGTTCCCAATTTTTCTATTAACCTGTTCAGTGTTTTTAAAAGCTCAAGGCGCACTAAGGCGCTGAAGGTCTCTCGGGGCCTAGGCGCAAGACGCAAGGCGAGGCGCGGGCATTATTGAAGTAAGGCGCATAGTCTTCGTAAAAAATAGAAAAATTAAAAAATAGAAAAACAATTTCAGTATAATGAATGTAATGTATGTTATATGATGAATTAATTAATGTATGTAATGTATGAATCAATTTTCTATTTTTTTAATTAATGATGAATTAATTAATTTCAGTATAATAATGAATCAATTTCAGTATAATCATAATGAATGTAATGTATTTATTTTTTTCTATTAATTAATGATGAATTAATTAATTAATGTATGTAATGTATGAATTAATTAATGTATGTAATGTATGTCATTTTCTATTTTTTTTTTTTTTAAACAGAGACAGACTCAAAGCAAAGGGAAAAAAAGAAAAAGAAAAAGAAAAACAGAGCTTCGACAGAATAAGGAGAGGAAGAAGAAGAGAAGAGCCCAGTCCGAAGAAGAAGAGAAGAGCCCAACAACCCAACGAGCGAAGCAGAAGAGAAAAAAAAAAAAAAATCAATCGAAGCTCTATCGAAGAAGAAGAGCCCAGTCGGAAGGAGTCGAAGGAGGTTCGACAGAGGTTCGTGACAGAGGTTCGAAGAAGAAGAGGAGTACCTGGTTCGAGAGAGAGAAGAGCCCAGTCGGAAGGAGTCAAAGGAGCTTCGTCGAAGGAGAACACAGATTACGGCTTCGATTTGAGTCGATTTGGGTCCTCTTCTGATTTCGCGTGTATTGTATTGCATCTGAGTTGTAATCGTATGTGTTGGAGGCTATAGGAACACAATTTTCAGCGTCAGATCTGAATATTGTGTTCAAACAGAGAAGCCCGACTAGGCGCGCGACTTGCGCCTCTCTGCGCCTCTTCCAGGCGCATCCAAGGCGCGCGACTGTTATACTGCGCCTCACCTGGGCCTCCTCAAGTCGCACCGACTGCGCCTCGCCTCGCCTCGCGCCTAGGCGCGCCTTTCACAACACTGAACCTGTTATCCTTGAGTCGTATTAGAAAGGATTTGGATTGTAGTGTGACTTTTTTTTCTAATCATTGTCTTTTTTAAGACCTTGTCACGAGGAGGACAATTGGCAATAGTAGTACAGAAAATGGCCTCTAGTTCCTCATTCTTCCACCACGAGTCCCATTACCAAAGATGATTTATGGCTGTCGCATAGATGTCTTGGGCATCCTTCTTTTTATTTACTTAAGCATTTATTTCCATCTGTTTTTGCAAACAATAATGTGTTTGAGTTTCTTTGTGAGTTTTGTTAACTTGGAAAACAACACAGAGCTTCTTTTGCATCGAGTTTTAATAAAAGCTTAATTCCTTTTTCATTAATACATTCGGATGTCTGGAGTCCATCTCGTGTTACGTCTGTGAAAGGTCATCGATGGTTTGTTACATGTATTAATGATTTTTCTCATACAGCTTGGGTGTATCTCATGAAAGACAAGAGTGAGGTTTCTCTATGTTCCGCAATTTTCATAAGATGATTTGTACTCAGTTTAGAGCCACTATCAAAATTTTCCGTTCTGAAGGAATACATAGATTCCGGGTTAGGGCAATATTTTCCTGTCCATGACATTATCCATCAGACCTCTTGCACCAATACCCCTCAACAAAATAGGGTGGCGGAACGCAAGAATCGTTATCTTCTTGACATGACTCAGTACATGTGTTTTTCTATAAGTGTGTCTCAGTCCTACTGGGGCGACACTGTTCTCACCGCTGCCCATCTTATTAATTGTCTTCCTACCCAGGTCTTGCAAAAACAAGCTCCCCTTCAAGTCCTCCTAGGTTCTGAGTCCTCGTTTTATATTCCTCCCAAAATATTTGGTTGTGTCTGTTTTGTCCACAATCACTCTCCTTCTTGTGGTAAGGTGGAACTTCGCTCCTTCAAATGTATTTTTCTTGGGTACTCTCCTACTCAAAAGGGGTATAAGTGTTATCACCCTCCTTCTCGTAATTGGTTTGTGTCCATAGATGTTATCTTTTTTAAGTCCCAGCCCTATTTATTGTCCTCTCTAGTTTCATAGTCCTCCCTTCAGGGGGAGCCTTGGTGTGAAGTGATTCCTATAGTGGAACCAGTTGCTCTTGCAGCACCACCACCTCTTACTGGGACTATAGAACCCAATGCCACCAAAGATAGAGAAGGGCAAGTTCATGTCAAGGACAAAGACAGACAGAAAGTTAACTAGATATAAGAGACCACTTCTGCTCATCCACTGCCATCTCCTGCTTCTAATGAGAGTCCAGGTAACTTTGAATCTCGTAATTCCATTGATCTTGATACTCCTATTGATCTCGTGTCCGTGTCCCCATTTTTTAGAAATTGCCGTGTCCCGTGTCCGTATCCGTGTCCGTGTCCGTATCCGTGTCCGTGTCCGTGCTTCATAGCCACCACCTGTTACTGGGACTATAGAACCCAATGCCACCAAAGATAGAGAAGGGCAAGTTCATGTCAAGGACAAAGACAGACAGAAAGTTAACTAGATATAAGAGACCACTTCTGCTCATCCACTGCCATCTCCTGCTTCTAATGAGAGTCCAGGTAACTTTGAATCTCGTAATTCCATTGATCTTGATACTCCTATTGATCTTGATGTTCCAATTGCCAAGAGCAAGGGTGTGAGATCTTGTACTCAACATCCTATCTCAAATTTTGTGTCATACTCTCATTTGTCATCCTTACATAGAGCTTTTGTGTCAAATATTTCCTTTGTTAGCATTCCTAACCATTTTCAAAATGCTCTTGCTATCTCTGAGTAGAAACTTGCCATGATTGAGAAAATAAAAACACTTAGGAAGAATAGCACTTAGGAATTAACTGAGTTATCTAGAGGCAAACGACATGTGGGATACAAATGGGTGTATACTGTGAAACAGAAAGCGGATAGTTCTATTGAGCGTTACAAGACTAGACTTGTGGCAAAAGGGTTCACTCAAACATATGACGTTGACTATCAGAAGACTTTTGCACCTGTGGCTAAGATGAATTCAGTCAGAGTACTTCTCTCTCTAGCGGCTAATCTAAATTGGTCACTTCATCAGTTTGATGTCAAGAATGCTTTTTCCATGGTGACCTCGAAAACGAGGTATATATGGACATTCCACCTGATTTTGAGGATCATCAGACAAAGGATAAAGTATGTCGGCTTCGAAAGTCATTATATGGTCTCAAACAGTCTCCAAGGGCTTGGTTAGAGAGATTCACTCAGGCTATTTTTAAATATGGCTTCAAACAGAGTCAGACAGATCACACCTTGTATGTGAAACATTCCTCACGTGGTAAGACTACAGCACTTATTGTTTATGTGGATGACATAGTTCTTACAGGTGATTATAGTGAAGAAATACCTCTGTTGAAGAAATATTTAGCAAGTGAGTTTGAAATCAAAGACTTGGGGAGCTTGAAGTATTTTCTGAGAATTGAAGTTACTCGCTCCAAGGATGTGATATTTATCTCATGGAGGAAGTATGTGCTTGACCTATTGAAGGAAATTGAGATTTTGGCTGCAAGGCCTGTGACACTCCACTGGAACCCATTCAGAAACTGGGGGATGATGAAGGAGGAGCAGCTGCTGATAGGGGGAGCAATTAGCCTTTAGTGGGTAAACTCATCTATCTATCTCACTCCCGTCCTGATATTGTTGTTACTGTTAGTGTGGTTAGCCAGTTTATGTGTCATAAGAATTTTGAGGTACTTGAAGTCTGCTCTTGGTAAGCGTCGTTATTTTTCAAAGCATGATCATCTTCGTGTGGAAGCCTATACAGATGCTAACTAGACTAGATCAATAACTGATAGGAGATCGACTTCAAGGTATTACACCTTATTGGAGGCAACCTACTTACTTGGAGGAGTAAGAAACAGAATGTGGTTGCCAGGTCAAGTGCAGAAGCTGAGTTTAGAGCTATGGTACAAGGGATGTGTGAGCTCTTATGGATCAAGTTATTGTTGAGTGGTCTAGATATTGATCAAACGGACTCCATGCGGTTATACTATGATAATAAGACCGCCATCAACGTCGCTCACAATCCGATTAAACATGACAGAACAAACCATGTTGAGATTGTTCGCCACTTCATTAAGGAGAAACTCACTAGTGACAATATGTACTCCATTTGTGCAGTCTGGTGAACAACTCGCTAACACCCTCACCAAGGGAGTTGGAAGTAAGCCATTGCATGACTTCCTAAGCAAACTAGGTATGAGAGATATCTTCGCACCAGCTCGAAATGTTAGAATATTATATTATTAGTTGGGTTATTATTCAATTATAATTATTCTATGCCTTAAGACTCCCTTGTAATTATTAATCTTCATTAATATAAAATGGGGATTGTAGAAATTTAATGTATAAAGAGAAATAGAGAATTGTATTATTGATTGATTTATATTGATATCTATTACAATGATTCATGATTCCTATATATAGAAGAGGGTGAGTGTGTAGTAGGTAAGGAGTAGGTGAAGTGGAGGTGGTAGTGGTGTAGTGGGTTAGGTTTAGTGGAGTAGGTGAGGTGGTAGTGGTGTAGTGGGTTAGGTTTAGTGGAGTAGGTTTAAGTGGGTGAAGTAGGTGGAGAGTAGGTGGATTTTAACAGGGATGATATCACAATTATTCCCTAATTTTGGTTTTCTCTAAAATTATCAGGTGCAAGTGTGTGTGTGTGTAATTTATTGTAGTCATTAGACAAACCTTCCTTGTTTAATTCTTCACACTCTTTTACAGCATCAAGAGCATTCCCTGCCTGCAATCAATGGATGCAATAGAGAATGACTCAACAAACATTTTAAGAAGGGGCAAGAGAGGTGTTGAGGTTTTGATGTGTGTATATTTAAAGATCAACTGGGAGAGAAAAAAAATGTCAGATTTTTTTACCATACAAAGCGTTCTGGCCAAATTAATTGATATATCTCTGAGATGGGATTTTGGAACATTGCCAGCAAAAGTACTGATTGCAGAACGTGCAAGCCTATATGAGACAGCAGCAGACTGATAATCAAATCGTGCCTCACAAACCAGCCCATTCATATTGTGGGATTCAGGATAGTAGGGTGCGCGCTGCATGGCCTGCCGGATGGCTCCAAATACCTGAGACAGCAATTACCTGCAGTAATTAGACTGACATGTCCCTTGGCAACTCCCTCCACAAGAAACATGAAGAACTAGCACATTTTTGGAACAGTGGCAAACACTCATGACTGTATTATATCAGTAATTAATATGGTCATACCTGTGAAGATGAAAGGTGATCTGAAGGCAGAGCAAGCTTTGCAAGACCAATTTGAAATTCTGCAAGCTGCCCAGATTTTGGAGATGTAAGTGCAACTTTGTAAGATATTTAAGAACACAATGAAGTCTAAGGCCATAAGCAGAAACCTCACTCTCTACTTGGAAGAAAAAAACTGATAATCTTATTGGCAAAGATTGCAATAAAACACTAAATCAATTCTAATAAATATATTGATCACTAACAACTCAATGAAATAAAGACCAAATCAATACAAATTACTTTAGTTCCAATCAAACATTAAATAACCCATTCAATTGAAACCATAAAGAAATTTTATGGAAAATTCCATATAAATTCAAGGTTCAAAAATTTCCTCACTACTAAGCATTCGGAAAAGCAATGTACAAAAACAGAATCCTTACAGGCAGTATCTGAACAGCCCGTAAACAACTCTCATATGCTTCATCTGGGGTCAGCTCCCTGAGAAACAAAGCCAATATTGATGTATTCAGGTGACAATGGTAAACAAAAATCATGTATTACATGAAGATAACAATTTACCTAGCATAAATATCAGCTGACATGCCTGCCCATGGTAATGCAAGAGAAGGATCTATGCTTCTAGCACGATCAAATGCTTGTCTGGCCAATTGCCTCTCCCCCTCTTCGCCATAGAGCTGAAAAAGCAGAAGGTTTAGATACTCTGCTGTGAGATTGGTAAGACAATTTCCCAGAAATATCAAGCTGTTCAGGAAATCAGGAACTATTATTGAAGGAAAAACCATTGTATGTATATATGACAATATTATGGTTATTTATATCCAAATGAGAAAAGCCAACCTTGAATATTTGAAAAGATAGTAAAAATGCTGCGCTACGTGGGGCTAAAAGTCAGACTGGGCTGCTAAGCCAAGTTCAGCCAAAAGCATAAGCTAACATCCAAAACTCAGCTAATTGAGAAAGATGAAGTTTGGATAATATTTTGAGAAACCTAAAGATGATATATATATATATATTCCTTGATGTTTAATAGAGTATGTAGAAATTTAATGTATAAAGAGAAAAAGAGAATTGTATTATTGATTGATGTTTGTAATTGTTGAATTATTGAATGCTACAATGATTCCTATATATAGAAGAGTAGGTGGTAGTAGGTGGTAGATGGAGTAGGTAAAGTGGAGGTGGTAGGTGGAGTAGGTGAAGTGGAGGTGGTAGTGGTGTAGTGGGTTTAGTGGAGTAGGTGAGGTGGTAGTGGTGTAGTGGGTTAGGTTTAGTGGGTGAAGTAGGTGATAGGTTTTAACAGAGTACTTCATGTATCTATCCATACATATAAGTACATAATAGAAACCATGCCGAATTGACAGCCTAAGGCCAAAAGGTCTGGCTAGAATGCTCCACTATATATCTCTTTGTAAAATTTGCAGGGACCACCATAGCCACTTAGTCATCAGCCATCCACCATGACTGCCTTTTTCTTCCCTCTTCTTTTCTTTCCCCCCTTTCTCTAACCCAAATCACCACCCAACTCTTCTCTTTAACCCAATTTTGGCAAACCATTTAGCAGCCACATCAACAAGCATCTCCACCAATTTTTGTCATCATCCACCACTGGCAAGCAGCAGCAGCAGCCACCATCTATATCAAACTGCCCTCCATCAACGTTGTATTAATGAGATCTATACACATTAGCATCTCTGGATACCCCAAACTTACCATCTTAATGCATATATTAAAGAAGTCATCATAGACAAATTCAATGCCCAATTGCATAAACAAAACAGCCATCCACTTTTTTCTGTCAATTATCTCCATCCTATCCTATCTACCATCCACTTTACTCTTTTTGTGATATTAGTTTCCTTTGAACAATTACTCTTCAATCTTTAGTTTGGTTATAAGTCCATAGCAGTTTTCCCCTTGGTTGGAAACTTCTGCAGCAAAAACCTAAAACCATAAAATTAGCCACAAAACTATCCTTAAGAACAGTTTAGATCGAAATTTTGCATTAGAGATATTCAAAATTACATATATTCAAATTATCAAATTTACCATGGCCGCACAGTGATCGTGTAATTTGGCTTCTTGTGACTCTTGTCAATAACACATTGCCAATGGTAATAAATAACCCTTCTTCTATTACCATCTGAAACTTGAAAAAACAATAATTACAGGATCAAACCCAAAACCCCAAAAATTCATATCCTTCTTACACTGATCAACCCAACCTTCAACTGTGTTCCAAAAGTCAGATTCATCCAAAGCGTTTAAGTTTTGTGCATTTACATAATCAAACAACCATTTCTTTAACAATCCCTAACACTATAATTATCCCTCTAATTTATACCATCATTAAGTCACAAACAGTGTAAGACAATGCATTAGGTATAAATCAAACAGGCCTTCTAATTATTCCTCTAATTTGCACCATCATCAAATCACAAACAGTGTAAGACAACACATGAACCTTTGAAATTTGATTCTATTGTGAAAAGCAAATACACACACACACACACACACAGAGCAATGAGATTTGGGTAGAAGGTGTGGCCAGATGATGAATATAATGTGATGATGGCTAAGGGGTTGAATGAATGGTGTGGCCAGGAGGCTGTGGTTTCACTGGGAAGAGAAAAGATAAAGGACATATTGATCAATGTGGGGATCTTTTCTTTTCTTTTTTCATGTAGTGGTAAACTTTGATTCACCAGATGAACAAGGTCAACAACCCTCAAGACACATGGATGTCCCCTAAAGATTACCCTTTCTTTTTCTATGAAGTACCAACATCTTTTCTTTTCTTTTTTCTCTTTTTTTTTTTTTTTTTGAAAAGTAAGAAAGTTTTATAGATAGAAAAATGTATACACCAAACAAGGGATTGATTGGAAAATATTGGGTGAATTTCTCTAGAAGCAGCAAAAAACTGCTCCAGCAATAACAGTCATCTAAAACTCAAGTAGGCATAGCATATCTGTCAAATCAATTCATGTATCGATTTTTGTGTTTCCTTTTCTACCTTAAATCAAATGGTCCACTTAAATTTTTGCATGATATAAAAAATATATATATACATATAAGAAATAGGAACTACTCCAAGTGTATCAGAAGTTTACACCTTTCTCTATCAGCATACTATTCTAAAGTAACCAATTTTCAGGAAAAATAAATCATTTAGTTACACATTTACCAACAAAGGATATTCATTGCATTTATTGAATAAGTGTTGGAAAGCTCTATAAATCAAAAAAATTAATTTTTCTAGTGTTTGAATTTAACAAATAAATGTATGAACTAGTTCACAAAGTGAAACCATGCTCCACAAATCCACATTCTTATGGATATGATGTGTCGATATACCTATTAAGTTCCTACCAAACTTGAAAATCACGAAGCTACTTGTAATATGGCACATCATATGTACCAAATTACATATTACATATGGGTGCTGTTTGGACTTTTGGTTATGTGCATCTTTAGCCAACCCAAACGCAGTGCTTGCCCTTGCCTCAAACTAGAGCAAAATAAGATTAGGTCAACCATTATGATTTCTAACCAAACAAGCAACTAGCCACGTTTGGGCCCTTACACAATTTCAATCCTATTCAGAAAATATGAGGAAGAAGAACTCCGAAAATATGAGGAAGAAGGAATATATTTCTGTTATATTCAAAACTTCTTATCTTACAAGACCAAATGACACTCCTTATATAGGAGATATTACAAACATCATTATAACCCATTATATGCAACTTACATATTATATATTACCACTATCTACCACTATCATATTATATACATGCCACTATCTGCCACCAACACCACTATCATATTCTATACATGCCACTATCTGCCACCAACACAACTATCATATTATATACATTCCACTATCTTATTATATACATTAACACAAATTTCCAGCAAAGAAGTTAGCAAACACATTGTTACAACTTTCTATGTTACATGGACCTGGGTACAGGTGTCACGTGCAAGTGCGTTTCTATGGTTTGGAGACCCATCAAACCTCTAATTGAAGGATATGCAAACTCGGCCAAAAAGGATAATATTTTTTACATTTTTATTCTGTTTTGTGGGATAAAAAATCGTGTTTTATGTAACATAAGAATGTCAAAAAAAGGCAAATGGTGTTTTGTTAAAAAAAAGCACTTTATTCATTTTAAAGCAATTATGCAATAAACTACATATATTGGTAGTGTTAAATACAACTATGTAATAAAATTGAATTGGTGGATATGTGCATATCTGATAAGAAGTATCGACCACACATATGATACACTTATCTAGGTGTCAAGTGTCTGATATGGTTACTTGATTTGTTTTAAAGAATCCAAGTAACACAAACATTTTTGATAGATTTTAAATTACAACTTCAGAAGTAAAATAACAAGTCCTTATAAAATTAAGATGTTCATCACACAAATAAAGAAAATCTTCAAATTGATGTAATTGTTGCAACTACCTTTCCAAGGTATGCCCATGAAATAGCTAGAGATACATCTATTTGCAATCCCCGTATAAAAGCATGTTGTTTCAATGCACTATGATCACATAGACAACCCAACAACACCCAAAACTCACTGTTATCACCCTCAAGCAACAAGCCCCCCAAGGACATCTTCTCAGGTAGCTGCCTGGTAGATAAGATGAAAATTTAAGGTAGCAAATGGTTAGTCATATAGGATAATTTAATGGACATAAAATAAACCAGGCTTACCAAGCATTATGGTCCTGCTTAAAACACTCCTTCAAAGAACAAATGAGATCCGAAGCGATAGCAATATCAGTATAAATATTTGCTTGCCAGGGGGCCAAGTGCAAAGCCCGCTGATAGGAACTACAGGCAGAAACTGCGGCTGAGTGACAGGTCCTTTTCCAGGAAATGATGGAAGTGCTGAAAGCTTCGTCATCAGTTTCTAATCCCAAGCCTTCCTCCGTCCATGGTAAACATGTTGCATACGCAAGCTAATAAGGAGGGAATATCGCCTTGTATTACACCATTTGTGTTTAAAAAGGAAAAAAATCGAGTACTGAACATAACAATGACATGAACCCTCATAGGAAAGCAATAAATATATTTCTGATAATAAATACTAAAAGGAATGGAATGGAATGGAATATATACATAATACATGAAAACAACAACTGCGTAGGTTGAGGGGAATTCATAAAACAATATACAACCATATTCCCATATGGAATGGAGGTTGAAAAGCTAAAGCCAAGACCAGAACCCTTTAGATGACCATACCTGGATATCTCCATTCAACTTCCAAATACAAGAAACATTTCCAGCTAAGCAGGTACTTGCTTTTGCAACATTAGATGCCTCCTACAATATCATAGGAACTTACTTTAGAAATGCTTGTTTTCAGGCATCATGCGGGGTGGCATGTTTTCTATGGTTTATTTCCTATCAAATGGTATACAGTAGTTCCAATATTACTAACCTCTAACAGTGAAGCTCCCCATTTAAATGCGCCTGAACTTGTACATTCCTTGGATAGACCAAGCAGTGCAGAAGCAAGGCCATAATGAGCAGATAAATTTTGAGGAGAGATTTGTAAAGCTTGCTGAAACTGCTCAACTCCCTTTATGAACAAAGATAAACAGTGACAATCAACATATCATGTCTAGCAGAGATAAGCATGAGAACCCTATGAAAAATTTGTCACTAAATTTCTGTATATATTTCATGAACATAGAGCAAGCATGGGACTATTACAAAAATTTTAGAATCACCGTCAATATTAATATGGTTATTTTGATCTTTATCAATCTCAGATCATGCTGAGTTGTGCAAGTGCTATTCAAACATGTGGTTAGTCCACAAAATGCTTCTTAACGATTCAACTTGGTGGTTCAGTTGTTTTTGTTTATACAATAGATAAAGAATGTTTTAAGTAGCAAACTGAAGCACATGAAAAGGGGTAGAAGTGAGTTTCAATAAAAACCCACACCTAAGATACCTATAACAAAGAATATCAAACTAAGAATTTTGGTCTAGAAGATTGATGAATGTAACAAACCAAGACTTCAAAGCTGTACACACACCCAAAAAAAAAAAAACAAAGAGAACTGCAAATAACAAAGAATATCAAAATAAGAATTTTGGTCTAGAATATTGTCGAAAACAAACCAAGACTTCAAAGCTGTATCAATTTACACATACGCACATAAATAAACAAACTGCAATGTAAGGCTATCAATAACTTGTTGGGTGATAGTGAACTAGCTACTTATATATGGCACAGCACGTGCAGAATGTTTGTTAACTACCATAAACAAGTAATAGAAACAAATCATACCTTTCTAAAGGAACCAAGCATCAAATTAATATTTCCACTTTCAACCAAGGGAAAGACTCGTGAGCCCTCCAACTCAATAGCCCGCCCATATGACTGTTCAAATACCAAGAGAATCAAACACAACCACGGATCATTCAAAACTTTAAACAACTATAATAATCCAATAGAATACAGGACCAAGATAGAGCCATAAATAGCATGACATGGAGTGATATTCATGCACTAGTAATTAGGATAAACCACTTCAAGAAATAAGGCCACCTAGTATAAAAGCTTGTTTGGAAGAAAGAAAAATTTAAAGTTTTAAAGAACCAGCACAGCTTGTTTGGAAGACAGGAAAATTGAAAGTTTTAAAGAACCAGCATACTTATATCTTTTTCAGATTATTTTTTTTTTCAGAAGTAGAAAGTAACTGAAAGTACACTGGCATAATTACGCGCTCATATATAGTCATTGACAGTTGTATGTGTTTCAAATTCAATGCCTTAATCTGTCTTGAGTAAGTGAATGACATTAGCGGATTCTCCTTTAATAATAATAAAAGCGACTCATTAAAGCAACTGAAATTCCAGACATTGTAGCAGAGTGTTTTCTGTAAGCATGATGCGGCTTACAGAAACATTTTCCAAATAGCAGCGGTAGATTCACATCCAATAATTCAAAAGAGCATAAAAACTAGGTTCAAGTTTCAACAATACACTAAGTAAGAAAACTTTTAAACTTTCACTTTCAGTAGCAACCACACAAGAACCAGGAATTAAACCCTTGCCTTCCCCAATGAACAAAAAGAAAAAGAAAGAGATGGAAGAAAATTTGAAACCCAAAGCCTACGATCACAAAACAGAAAAACAAGAAAGCAAGCAATTACCTTAATAGCTGCAGTAAACATGCCTAACCGCTGGTAGGCGAGACCCAAAGCCTACGATCATATCATAACAATGAAGAAAGAGCAAGAATGATTTTTTTAAAATTCAATCATAACAAATAACAAAAGCAGTAAGCGGTGGTAGAAAGACAGGAAGGACAACGAGGAACAAAGTACAGACTTCCCACAAATCAGCACAGGTAGGATAGCCTCTGATGGAATGCTGAAGACTAGGTACTGCTTCAGACCATTTCTTTTGATGGATCTGCAAGCAAAGAGCGCTAAGTGCAGCAGAAAATAACAAAGAGAAAACAAAATTAAAAACCTAAGCCTGAGAAGAAGAAGAAGAAGATACCTGAAGGAAACCCAATCTTCGAAAAGCCCAGAAGGCCCTTGGGGACTTGTCTGAAGCTTCGCTGCAAACAGCAACCTCCAGGCTCTCCTTACCGCCTTCGTCCAACAAATCACACAGTGCTTCCTGAACATGAAATGACATATATTCGCACACAATCACAATCACAATCAGAATTGGGTTGGGTTAGTAAAAGAAAAGACAAGTAGAGGTGGTTGCGTTGCTAATTTGGCAATTCTTGCAAGGAAAACTTGGGAATTATAAAATAAATAAAACAAGCCCAACAAAGAAACACACCCACCCCAGATTCGGAGTCATCGGGAGAGAGGGTGACAGCTCTCTGGTAACACTTGAGAGCTCTCTGGTAGTCGATGGACACTCGACTGTAATAATGGCCCAAACATCTAAAAGCAGTGCCGTTGTGAGGGTTTAACTTAGCCGCTACCAGAAAATGCTCCGCCGCTTTTTCTCTGATTTCTTTCGATTCTTCTTTCCACAATATCAATCCCTGGTGGTCAGTCACAACATAAAAATAAATAACAATAAAATAAAAATGCAAGAATTCACTCGTCTCGGAGGGTTCAAATCAAATGCGTGCGGGGCTCCAGCGTGTTTATAGATAAATTATTATGTATCAAACAAATAAACAAACATAGAAGAACAAAGAAAGAAAGAAAAGAAAGAAATTGTCGTACGAGATTCAAATGGGGGAGGGAGTCATTAGGGTTGGAGTCTATAGAATCTTGCAACTGCCGTAAGACAAAAGCATCTCCTCCTCCGTCTACTACTTCCTCTTCCTTCTCCTCCTATAGAAACATAATAATCAAAAACACAATTGTTTTACATCACAGTTGCATCAACGGTTGCTAAAAAAAAAAGCACCAGGAACCGAAAAGAGAAAGATCAAAATGAGGACCATTAATACTGTGTTCTCCAATTCGGATTTGTCGGACTCTGCTAAAACCCTAAACCTCTACTACTGTTTCGTTCCGGCGGGGCGGGGCGGGGCGGGGGGTCGCGTTGCTATGCTATGACTGCTATCGTTGTCCAGAACCCTTTTGAAGCGGAGAACCAATGTACAAAATGGATGTTAATTTTTCATACCTTTCTTTTTTGAATAATAAATTTTTTATACCTTTCTTTTTTGAATAATAATGCTTATTTGAGTTTTTTTTTTAATATTTTTATTTATAAAAAAAAATAATTTAGAGAATTGACTCATTTTTTAAATTATTTTAGAAACTAATCTACTTGTTGAAATCATATTTTTGAAATTAAAATTACATTTTTAACATATAATTTCACTTTAAAATCGCATGTTAAAAATGTAATTTCAAAAAGTGAAGTCCATGTTAAAAATACAATTTTAATTTAAAATTATATTTTCAAAATATGATTTTAAAAAATATATTAATTTCCTAAACAGTTTAAAAAATAAGTTAATCCTTTAAATTGTTTTTATTAGAATGTTTAAAAAAAAAAAAACCTCCACTGATTAGGTATATTTATTTTTATTCATATTCCTATAATATAATCCATTAAGGCCTAGTTTGGGAAGACTAAATAAGTGTACTTTTTGACTTTTTATGAAATATGGGTTGGGTTTGGGTTGGGTTTGAAGTGATGCGTTAGAGAGGTGATGTGACTTAAATAAGATGATGTGACTTAAATAGGATAGTGACTTTTTGACTTTTTGTCTTTTTTCAATCATGCCAAACTTAGCCTAAATTACCATCACAATACACAAATAAGAGGGTCAAACCATTGAAGGTGAAATCATTAACCTCATAATAGTTACGATATTTGAAGAGTTATTTAGAATGATTTAAATAAATATATTTTATATTTTTTATAAAATTATGTGTAAAATAATATAGAAGTAATATGGTCTAAATAAAAAGTGATATATTTCAAATAAGATAGAATAATATAGGGGGATTTTTTTTAAGGTCTCTGGTATTAAAATTTTATAGCATAAAGGGCACTCAATATTTTCATGATGTCTAAGGTCCCTCAACATCAATCTAGAGAAAATTCGATCCAGAAAATTTCTCTGGACAAATCACAGAGAAAACTCCAAATTTCTCTGGACAACAATAAGGACTAGTGCTCTGTTTCAGAGAAAATTGGGATGGTCCAGATAAATTCTCTAATTTGGACTAAATTTTCTCTTGGTTGAACTAGTGCTCTATTTCAGAGAAAATTGGGTTGGTCCAGAGAAATTATCTGGATTGAACTAGTGCTCTGCAGAGAAATTCTCTAGGTTGGTCTAGAGAAATTCTCTGGTTTCTAGTGCTCTAATTAAGAGAAAGCTGGGTTGGTTCATCTCTGGTTTGGACTGAATTTTCTCTAGACCAAACCAGAAAAAAATTTCTTTGATTCATCATTTTCATCCTAATCTCCTAACCAAACTTTAGACAAGAAATTCCAGGTGGGACCACATCAAATTCATTTTCTGAGAAAACAAACAGTGCAAATGTTTCTGATGTTTTGTTCTAACATTTGAATCAATGGATTCAACTAACAGACTCATAGCAAAAGTATATTCCCAGGACATGACATAAAAAAGTTCCACAATGGTGCAAATGTGTTGTAAAGTGATATACGAATTATATGAAGTTCATGAGGTCACACGTGAATTATGTAAATGTGCTTGCTATTAGCTACAAACACAGTGCATTTTTTTATATGCCTATACTAGCCACAACCAAGAACAACACAGATACTCACTTTGACCATAACACGCAGCAGCCTTTCTATTACCATATTGTTCTATGCACTGAATTGACACTTCAACTATGTGTGATTGAGGGAATTCTAGTAATCACCTGTGTTAGGGTAGGTACTCAGTTTGAGAAATTTCTATTACTAGAGAAATTTCTCTCCAGAGAAATTCTGGAAATTTCTTTGGATTTCGGAATTTGAAATTTTGGATTCTCTGTGTTTTAACCAAATTTCTCTGGACTTCGGAATTTCTCTGGACTCTCCATCTTCTCTCTCTTCAACCCCCTTCTGCTGGACTCTCTGAAGCACTCCAGAGAAATTTGAAATCTTCTTTGGCTTCACTAAATACCATGGTAAGAAGCTTTTGGAAAGTGATCATTTGCCGCTGATCCTTCACTGACAACATAGCAGTGATTGCTTCCCTTCCAAGGGCCATCAATGCAGACCTAAGTTCATTCAATTTTCTTTCTACATTTTGAAGCTTTATTGAAATCTCTGCCGAAGTCGAAGGATCTTTACACTTTGATTGACGCTTTATCACTTCAACTGCCTAGTAAAATGATATATTCAATATATCACTACCACCATTCCTCTAGTCTACCGCAATACCACCAAATATACCCAGATGTGAAATCAAAGAATACTTGTGTTTCCACTTCTTGGCGGAGTCTGTCATAACGATGAGTCAAATAGCGAGCATCCTCCAAAGGAGCTCCTGTTATTGATGCCTGTAATGGCTCAGAAATCTGCAAGTAATAAACAAGGTATAACCCCTCCCCTAAAAATAAAAAATAAAAATAAAAAAAACCACAGAAAAGAAAAGACGAGGAGGAAGACGACGGAGGACAAGGCGGTCCACGGTGGATCCAGTTGAAGCTGCCTGTTATCTCGCCATCTGTTCATCCATCTTCGGAAACCACAACAGCTCCACCGCCATTGAAGCTATATATATGTTTGTAAATGTATTCTAGAGAGAGAGAGAAGTGGAAAGCTAAGGTTTGATTTCAGTCAAATTTCTCTGTGATACATGGGTGTGA